ATACAAGTGGTCAAGAAATCCAATCTCGAATCCAAACTCCCATCGATAGTCATTCACACGTGAAAATATTTACATTCTCAGTTTCCACCTCGCATAATACACTGCGGCTGCATTACAGAGACAGTCCGTTAAGACTCTTCTAGGTTGCGTATTTCACGACGCTATCACCAAGAATATATCACGTCTGATGATAAGTTGAATGATGAATCGGAAATGACTTGAAAGAAATCTGCTGTAGCCCAGTGAAGGTATTACCTCAGGATATGCTTGGAAGGACTGAGGAAACCCACGAAAATATCAATGAGGATAGCCGATGTTCCAAATGAGATTCGAACACAGCGACTCCCGAATATGTTTAAAGCGTTACCTTTAGATCAGGCTGTCCGGTTGCAAGGCAAAATATAGATAGTTTTTTCTGTCCTGATATATGTGAGAATGGACGTGTATCTCCACCGTTTCTGCCCTTAGCACTGGATGGAGTGGAGTTTTGTCCTGTGAAACTCTGGAAAATAATTGTTGATTGTTCAAAGGATTTAAAGACACATAAATGCGTTGTGTGCGTAAATTTCAGAATGTTTTATTTTATGTTAAAACAAATGATATATATAGTAACCACAGGGCTCTAAAGGCCTAAGAACGGTTGTAACACTGTCACATATAAATGTTTAGTTTCTTGACATTACGTTAACAGAGGCGTATGGACAGGCGGGGAGATTTATATTAGAGTTCTGCAGGGATACGAACAAGCCTCAAAATCACTGGAAACCTCAAGGCGGCCTGTATTGAATTGAAACGTGTACCCCTCGAATATAAGCCTCCACTAACCTGCTCAATGTAATTGGTCGTTGGTTTCTGAAGTGATTATTCTGTTATGTTAAATTAAACATGCTCTTGGGATTCATGAAACTGCTATTGAAATCAATCAGCCTTTCTCCAATAACTCACCATCTCTCGAAACGGATTTTGCTATTCTTGCATATGTACCCTTTTTCATCAGATTTTGTAATTGTAACGAAGGTACGTATATTAATTATTAATTGAAAATTAATTGAAATCCTGTCGTTTCCTGCAGGAAAGTAATTGCCATGCCCATCAATAAATTACTTCATTAAACCAATTCTGAATTTAGTACTGTCACATGACCGGAGTTCCGTGACTAACAATAAGGGGTTCTGGATTGGATGGTCGGATTTATTGACGCCTCATTTACAGTTACAACCGATTATAACAGCTCACATTCAAGGGCTTCCCAAGACTCGCTCCATTCCGTAGTGGACTACGAGTGTCTTCTCTTCCACTGTGACTGACTTGGTTCTGATTTACGGGGCGGTCACTTCTACTGCTTTCATTACCCGCTGGTTAGCACTCTTACCACTGAATCAGTGAATCAGAATTCCTTTACCACTGACGATTTACCGCCAATCACTTCGTCTTGGCGACAAGCCCCTTGAGACTCACGACCAGTCGTTTTTTCCCAACTGAACACATACGGTTATAGTCCTTATGTAATATTTTCTCTCACGAGAGGATGTGTCTGTCGTTTACAATTGCTGCTGGTCCTCGCCAGCGCCTGAATCAGTGAACGAGTTGAGTCGAGTTTTATGTTACGACCGACGGTCATTCGGCCAGTCTGTCTTGGAATACAGATATTACTGTCAGACAGTTACAGGCTTGATGTTGGGTGCCCTCTCTGACGAGAGGATGAGTCTGTCGTTTACAATTGCTGCCGGCCCTCTGTTATTCTGTGCTTATCCTTTGCTGTGAAAACGTGTCAATTTCGTAGCAGCCCTCTACAAGCTTATCCGTTGCCGCGGATACCAGTTTTAGGGAGCAGTTGTCAAGCAATGGACGTCTCTGTGGTGCTTCTCTGTCTTCACATTTCCGGCGTTCAGGCGTCATATTACAGTACGTAGAACTGTAGGTAGTTAAATCAGTACCGTGCTCTCCCGAACAGACACACACGTAACTACTTCACGAGCCACGCAACTTTCTGTAGATCTCATACTGCGGTCTTCTACTGCGTAGGTAATAAGTAGAGGCGAGTGCCGCTGTATTTCCGACTTTCTCGTAGTCACGTCCTTTTCTGTTTCTCCGTCGTACCCAGTGTTCGTTCAGTGCATTTCCCGTTTCCAGGAACACAGCCCTGGCGCGTAATGAGTCATCTGTTTAATCATTTAAAGTCTAGTGGTTAGTATATGTACCACCCGCTTTAACATGCTAAAACTCTGCTTTCTGCCCACAGAGGGTATTTGTGTATTCCGTATGGTTCACTCAGCAAACAACGACATTTTCTTTAAACAACATTAACCTGTTGGCCTTTGTAGCGGGGACGTAATATGTCTCCTGTGAGGTACGAACTGAATTTTTATGTTATTTGGAAGGAATTCAGGTAATTAATTCACCCGCGTGGAGGCAGGTTCAAGTACCTCCACCGTAGCCCTGTGAGTCGTAGGAGGCGGTGAAGAGGAATCCAGTGCCTGGGGGCATAACTGAACCACTCTGCCCCTGGGGGATATAAATACGGGGACCTGGCCCTCCAGTTTGGGGGAGTCTTGAATCTGAGACAGTAAAATATTCTCACGTATTAAGTATTGTGACTATAGACGGGGTCTAGATTGGGTACTGGATTTATTGACCACTTGTACATATCACTCAGAACTACACTTTACAGATTACTGACACACAGAGACTAGTGTCCTCAGTCTATTACAGTCTGCACTAGCCGTTTCTTGGCAACGGCTTCTGTAGAGAGAGATTATTTAGCTTTCGTGTTTATGCCGTTGCCCGCTGGTTAACAGTCCACACCCGAACTCTCGAATAACTGCTCAGTTTGAACTCGGGAAGAAAAGACAATATGATTTTATTACTGTCGTATCCATAGTTATTTTCTTTTTGTTAGAAGAGACGTAGGGTGTAGGTACCTAGGAATAACTGGAGCCTTTACGGCATGCTGAGGCGTAGCGCGTTAAAGTTATTTATAAAATGAGAGAGAGAGAGAGAACACAAGGGAATCTGCATTCAACTCTTTACGCACCCATCTGCACGTTCTCGGGTTCGAGTAGAGGTAAGAACGTTCACGGCCATGTAATGTTAGCAGGAGAAAACGGAAAAGCTTTACTTGTTCGATAACAGATGTAGTATCTATGCCTACAAATTGTTCTGTCATTATATTTGAGGCATATATTTTAGAGATGTTGTTATTAATTTCGATGTGTAGAGAATATGAAATAGCGCCCAGGGGAATGGCGAACAGCTTCAAAATATTGAGCATTTTACATTCAAAATAAATGTTTATGAATAACTAGACCTATCATCTACCTCGGGAACTGGAAATCTGTGACAGTCGCTGTTCGTATTGGCCCTTTGTTTAACATATTTCGCCACGCTTCGAGTAATCAGTAAATAGGGTTTAACGTGGTGTGTTTCAACCGATTGTCTAACTAATGTATTATCTGCCTTCATTAGTCATTGTACTGAGCAGCTTGGCGCAGCGGTACCGCTCCTGTGTCGTACTCGGGAGGTGTTTGGTTTGGATCTCGACCAGGTGATCGGCTGTCCTAACCGAATTTCTTCATGGTATTCCTCAGTCCTTCCACAAAAATACTGGGATTATACTTCTGTTAGGTGACGACAGCTTCCTCTCCAGTCCTTTCCAATTCACTGTAATGCAGAGAGCGATATGCAAACTGCATCACAAAATGAAACCAGACAAAGTGTCCCAACATTTGGCCGTGTATCCTATGAACTTCAAGAAGCGCCTTTAAGTAAACCAAGAAGAAATCTGTTGAGGGAGGAAAAACAGCGTAATCAGCTGTAAATACATGTATTTAATACTTACCTGTATATGCTGAGCTACCAAGGTGTAAGTGAAGAAGCGCGATCAGGGAGGAATGTGAAAAGGAACGAGTGGAATTGAAATGGTGGCATATATGTTCCCTAGCCCCCTCTTTCTACCGATATAGGCCCCACATTAATTCTACCCCCTATGACTCCATTATGCAGTTTTTTTCCCCTTAGCACTACAGCCCCAGTGGGCCTAGGCCTACCTCCATGAACTTCTCTGTTCACTTCGGTTTTTCTAGATCTTACACATTCGGTAGGACTCCTTGGGCGGGTGATCAGCTAGTCGCAAGGCCTCTACCTGTAGACAAACAGAAAACCGCACACACACAAACTAAACATCCATGTGCTGCCACGAAAATTACTGTCTTCTGGGATGTGTAGCCTTGTATTTTTTTAGAGATAAGAGAATTTCAGCGGAAACTACTATCTCAGTCTTCTGCAGACTGCAGCCACCTGCTCACGCTAGTTCCTCGCTCTCGGATTTTTCTACCCTGAAGATGGAGACGGTATGTTCCTCCGAAATTTCGGTTGACACAAGATCTACACGACGCCACATCCCAGAAGACGGCATTCTTCAGAGAAATAATTATTAAGAATGACTCACGGAAGATGTGAGAGAGAAATATGCAGTTAATACCCTTCAAGTGTACGGAATGCAACGTGCAGAGGTATACAGGAACTATTGCAGGAAAGTAAATAAGTGCTTCGAGAAAATCGATTATCAGATGTTGCGATTGCGCGTGTATGAATCCGGCAGGTGGCTCTCTGGCTGCGACTCGAGAGCGTCGTCATGTCTAGCGAATCACAGTGTAGCGCCGGCTCTTCCCGACGTCGCACGTAACCGAGCGTCGGCCTTTCTCGATCATAAACTTTTATACAGTTCACAAACTTAAACCTTCCGTCACCTCTTTAAGCATTTGTGTTACAGTGCTTGTATGGTATAAACATGAACCATTAATTCTGTAATTAAAAGTTCTTTTTAGCCGTTTAAAACAAACGAAAATGTATAAATCTGGAACTTTAGTTAAGTTATCACGTAGTGTAAAAAGAAACGGATCGAGTTATGGATAGTGTAGGAAAGTTGTTATAAAAGTTATGATGGATTAACTTCACGAAACTTTTGCGAACACAGATGTACTTCCGGTACGTTTCAGAAACTCTGTAAAATGTGCGTGTGAGTTTCCATCTTCCCACTTATTTCTCCTTCCTGACCTTCACCTAACATCTGAACATGCATTCATTAATGCAGCTATATCTCTATTGACTTTCGCTTGTATACATGGCGTAAATATGTTATTGTAAGGATCAGTGTTTATACCGTAGTTAGGGGTTGTTTATGTAGACATCTATCTGGATTCTGTTATATAGTTTCGTAACGGGAGATAGAATTCTGGTGTTAGTAGGGGCATTATGGTGGAATTAAATACAGTAATTTCAGGCCTATTGACGGTAATAGTATTTACTGTGTTCAGTGTCGCATTTGCAGCAAGTCTTTTAGAACCCGATGAAGACTCTTACAATATCCGCGCAAACGTGTTGAATCATAAACCCGAAGAGAGATTGGGAACCGTCATACGGCACGGTCGTTCAAGGAATTTCTTTTCGCTCTTCAATAGAAGAAGTGGTTCAGAACCGAAATTTTTAAATAAATTTTCTTTCGGAAGTTACGATATCCCAAATAATAATGAAAATAAAAACTCGATCATGAAATCTCCTCCAATTGATCACGAGGGAACAGTTACAGATAATTATGAAAGTAGTACAGTAGCAGACATACGAGTACTCCAAGAAATGGGTTTCACGTCTTCATCTTTGAATATCACAGTTCCTATAAAACCAGCAACAAAAGAGACCACAGCACAGACTAGCTCACAAATTATGACCGCTTCTTTACAAGTAACTACGTCACGCACAGAACCCGAAACACTGCAAACCACGACGGTTTCTGATCAGACGGAACAAGAGCAACCTGATTTTTCAGTAAAGAAATTTCCAGACATGTTGGCTTCAGACTTCAATGCCAGTGATTGGGGTCGTCATTTCGAAAACAAATTGAGATCCACAGCTGATGTGACAAGTCCCAGACGTAAGGCCCATTCTGACGGCGAAGGTTACACTGTTTCGAACCCTAAGGACGAATCCGAGTCGCTCAGTTATGTTGACGGAGGTTTCGACTTAGCTATTGAGGGTACGGACACCGATATTGGTGTTGAAGGAGTGGGGAGAGTCACTGACGCCGTCGATGCGAGACGGGGCTCAGCGGATGTGGTCACTCGGTTCCTCACAATCGTTGAGTCTCAGCATCTTCTGGGTGAGAACTGCACTGCCGGGACGGACCTTAATCTTGGTGAAGGCGTCGTGGATCAGTATGCCCAGGAAAGGTTCCGGGTAGAGGCGGACGTAGCGGTTAATCGTGCCAATATGCTCACGAGACTCTGGAAATATGCAGATCCTGAGGTGATGCGTTCTGAGTATCTGCTTCACGCCTCCGTGTTCTCAATGGTTGAATTCGATGAAGATATCTTCGCTGCCGGTAACTGCTACGACCAGTTCCAGTACAAGGACTACGTGCTCTTCTGCCCCTATGCCTATAGACTACCTGAAGGACAGATACTCGTCAAGGACTTGGCCGTGGAGTACAAATATCTGAGTAACACATCTGAGTGGTTCTACATTGCCCGGAAACACGCAGAGAACGTCATCCGGAACTACAGCCAGTTTAGTCACGGTGAGTGCACGCAGACATCTGTGCATGGTTATGTGCCACTGGAGTTCCGGGTTACGTGTAATACCTCTTCCTACAAAGCTTACTATAAGTTATTCACTTTCAAATTTTACACATCACTACATGTTTTGACCAATATGGTCATCATTAGGCGTTTAAACCAATTACGGATAAGGAAAGCGCTCTGCTTAACGATCATGGCTTTGGTTCCTTTTTTTATTGCTAGTGGGATGGGACTAAGTCCCTTGTACTGCGGCCTCTTCTGGCCTATTGTACCAGCCCCAGATGATAGGTGAGGGTGATTGTGGAGCAATTGGTGGAACGAAGATTGGCAGGGGAAACCGAAGTACTCAGAGAAAACCTGCCCCAGCGCCACTTTGTCCACCACAAATCCCACTTGACCAGACCCGGGATCGAACCCTGGCCGCCGCGGTGGGAAGCCAGCGACTAACCGCTTGAGCTATGGCGCGTCCATGAATTTGGTTACTAATGTGTGGTCCCCTCTATACGCATGCGTACCGGTTAATATCTTCTATTAGTAAGTTTTATAGAAAGACGTGTTACACGTGAGGCTGTGGAACCAGCAGCGTTTGGTACTGCTGATGCGCTGCAGAATTCTATAATATATTATTACTTAACAGCACTGTGTAAGTAATTTATGTCGTGGTCCACCTCTATATCTCTTTCTAATTACTGTAGTTACTTTCCTACTTACCGACGTCGGCTACTTAAAACTTGAAAACTCCTGTCACCTCCGATATAATGCCGTGTAATTCGGTTAAAATCAATCTATGATTCAGAGGAATGTCGTCTCCATCTTCATTGTCGAAGAATAAACCAAGAAAAAGCCAGCATGAAGAGCCGTGCTTGCTACTTGCTTCATGCTGCATTCTTGCTTAATTCATTCCTTGACATTAAAGATGGAGACGAAATTCTCTCCCGAAACGTCGGTTGATCTTGAAAAGACTACATAGCATTATATCCCAGGCGATAGAATTGTTAATTCGAGCATCTCAAATCTTACGTACTTAAGACGTATTTGTTTTCAATCAGTGCAAGTTCAGTGCGTGTGTGACCTAAGAGGTCAGTCGATTGCGTGTTCCTTTTGAGAAGCTGCGGTCATCAGTTTTTATATGTATTAAATATGTAAAATTCAGATACAAGACGTCCTAAAATCTTTAAATACACGAACGGTCTTTTGAAAATTAGACTTATTTATTGCGACAATGACAGTAACTCGTGGTAAGAAGCGGTCGTGGCCTATCTGAAGGCACTAGCCAAACATTTGCATGGAGGAACTAAAGAGAGCGATAGAGAACGCCCCAGCCGAGTTTTGAAACGGGAGTCTCCCTAATAAAGGATAGAGGCTCTACCGTTTGAGCCAATTTGCTTGCTGCTGGAGTTGTTACACTCCAGTCTGGTAACTGCTGAAGTTGCTGGAAGTTGCACCAGGTTGCGTAATTCTCCTTATCCAGGCGCTTGTGTGAAGTCTGACTGGAGATGACGACCTTGTACCGCAGAATTGTGAATTGTTTAGATCATGTGCAGTTACAGCCAGTAACTAATTCACGCGCATCGTTGTGAAAGTGACGCCTTTTGTTTCACGTTCATTTTAACAGCACTCTATCAACTGATTTTTTGTGTACTATTAATGATAAATTACATGGTAAATGTTACGATTACAATGTTGTGAGATATGACGCCGTGAAGCTTGGCAGATACATCACCTTTCTGCCCTGAAGATGGTGGCAGTATATTCCTCCGTAACCTTGAAAATTATCTAGTGAATGGCGTCACATAACAGAATACCGTAATCGGAGTATACTTGTGAATTTCTGTATAAGATTAATTTTGAAAAAAATCTGTAATGCTCTGTTGAANCTTCCTCTTCGCTCCCACTTTGGAGCATACGGCTGATTTCTCAGTTTCATTGATCATTTCACAGACGGTAGGACTCCTTGGACGGAGGATCAGCTCGTCGCAAGGCCTCTACCTAAACACAAGACATCACAAACACAGAATAAACGCATACACACACCAAACATCCATGCCTTGTGTGGGATTCGAACCCACGATCCCAGCTTCCGAACGAATGAAGACTGTACATGCCTTAGACCGCTGGGCTACCGTGACCGGCGAGTGTATATAAACGCATTAATGTGATTGCGGGAATATAACTTCACATTTGTTTTCAGTTCTGTAAAATTTGGCGTTGATTAAAATTTTGTTAGTGTTTTCTTCACTTGTAATTAGAATAATTGTATATCGTGCAGATATTTCTATGCTTCATCTTTAAAACCATTATTTTCCTATTTACGTGCCGTCTTTACCCGCCTCTAGCATCTCGCGCTTCAACACTCCCACACATCCCGCAGGAAATTATCATTCCTGTCGCATATCCAGGGAATGTTTCTCAGTGTTCAGCTCTTCTTGTTTCCGTTCGCTTTGTGTGCCCTCTGTTAGCAGTTGTCAGGACTATACATGGACTTGTAAGCTGCCAGTTGCCGTGGTTACCACTGTTGAATTACGGCCGTAAGGGCCTGTACAGCACAGCAGCATTCACACTACAAGCCATTAAGAATCACCGACGTGTTTAAGGTTATTGTTGCTGGGACAGGGCACCATATTGTTTTGTTAGTAAATCAGATTATATACCGTTGCATCACAGGATGATAGTGACTGATGAATTGGAAAGTATGCGGAAGGAATCAGTAGTGGCCTAATTTCACGCATCACTCCGATATTTGAATCCAGGGACTGAGAAAAACCACGAACACCCTCAGTCTGGATAGTCGGTGTTTCGGCCGAGATTCGAACCTAGCACCTCATTAATACAAGTCAGAAGTCTTACCGCCAAGCTTGGTCCGTAGAAGAACCAGCGTTTCGGAAGAAATTTCTTTCTCTATCTTCAGGGTACCTCTAATGTTATTTTCCGTCGCCGTGTGAACGTCGTATCTCACATTAACTGAAAATTGTCTTTGTATCGCGGTAACGATGGAGAATATTTCACCGTTGGGGGGTGGGGGTGGTAATGCAACTTCTCGCTTGCCTCTAGGGGTGCCCCTTAATTGGGTGAAGGGACTGATGAGACCCAGGAGAAATATTTGTTAGGATGGTCAGACAGGGTCAAAAATCGAATACTGGTATTCTGATTGCGAGAGAGAACATGAAAAGAAAATGGCGGAAACATGTGTCCGTGTATGCATCTGCATGTACTGGGAGGAGCTTTCCTTTGTTGACCGATTCCTCAGCTCTGCGCTACACGGCAGCCGTTACGCCGCTCCCTGCTGATGAATCAGCACGCCTGACGGCTGATAACATTCGGAATAAAGGAAGTTGTTACATTTGTTCACAAATCACAGGCGTTGAAAATGCTGTCCCTCTACACGTAGACATTCCTACGCAGGCGGAAGGAGTTCTGACGTAACATTTGAAGCTGTTCTGCAAGAATATCTGGAATTCGCTACGAATATTATTGCTGGATCCTTGTGTGTTGATTTTCTCAGATCCAAGTAAGCACATTGGCATAACTCTAGCCTGAAGGAGAACGTCAGTATTTTTAGAGAGTTATTATTTTGTTTGCGCGTAATAACCACAGAAACGTGAAATTCTGAAATCGAAATTTATCCAGAACAGAGTTAGTTTGTGTTCCTGCTCTAGAAATATCATTAGTAGCGTGGAACGGGGCAATTATGTACTATGCTGAAGTTGTCTACGCCATATTTGAATGAAGACCATTAAGCAAACGAATAATGAAGAGGTTATATCCGCCCATCTGTGATTCAGTATGTTTCATCTCGGAAGTAACTAAACGAATTTGGATGAAATTTGGTGTTGTGGGGTTGTATTAAAAGTTTTCGATTTTTTTATATTTTCCTTCTTTAATCAGCCTGTGGTAGGCTAAGCACACGTGAGCGTCTGCGTACGTAAATCGAAGGACCGTGTTTTCAACTACTAAAATCAGAAGGCAACCTAAACGAGATTTAAAATTGAGTTATCATCTCACAGAAAACACCCTATTTCTCTGTTACAAAGACTAACTAACCGATCGGTGTTATATAAGGAAAGAAACGCTGTTTGTTCTGAGAATCATACGAAATCAGTTAAGATACTGTACAGGCAAAATTAAAAGATTTTCCGAATATTCAAGCTTGTGGTATGTATAGTTGACACTTTTCTTTAAATGGTAAAATAATCAAGAAGTAGTAATTTTAAGCCTAGTCCAGGTGTATTGTTTTTTTATTTTTAAGGATAGGGTCTAACTAGAAGTACTACAACAGTATTTCCTTTGCGAAGACTGAGGAAAATCACTAGGAACTTGTGTCAGGATATTCGATGTCCCTACCGAAATTCTAACCAGACATCCTGAATGCTAGTCAGAAACTTTTCCGCTTCTGCCGACTTCCTGAAATCCAGCAATAAACTGCATTTTTGGACAGACAGAGAAAAGTAATTTGAAGTGCAGTGCTGGTGCGTTGTGGACTACTCATATTTCAATCGCCCTGTGGCATAAAACCGAAGCCATTAATAAATCAAAGGACTGCGTTGCAGGGAGGAGTCTAGACGTAAACAGAGGAGGCGTGCTTATCATTCATCTCTGAGGGTTTCGGGCCTTACACGGAAGAAAGTTCGGAGTCTACTTTAATATGAGCCCCCGGGAGTATATTGGAAAATGTTATTATGTTACGTCTAAAATTTGATGGATGGTTATTTATAAGTTATATTAATCCTAAATAAGCACAGGCGTGTGATATATTGGGTGACGCGTTCTGTCTCGATTTTTGTCCTTGTTAAGAACACAGTTTCTCAGACTGAAGCGTATTTTAGTAAGTAACCAGCCTGCCAATCAGCCGAGTATCGAACCAATCACGAAATCAATTAACTTTTTTTTTATATATAATATATATTTATATATATTTTTTGTCGCGGGTGACAGTGAATACCTTGATTAATATGCCGTAAATGTCCCGGCTCTTGGTAACAGATGAGAGAAATGGAGCATT